TAGGTGTTAGACATATCATGATCAGTGAGCTCATCATAACTGGTGTGATATCTGTGTAGTTTATGAGAACTCAGTTGAATTTGGCCGATCATCTAACCAAAGGGTTAGCAAGAGATCTTGTGCACAAGGTGGTCATAGGGTTGGGTTTAAAGTCCACCTAAAATCTTTATATTGAGATACCCAATTCCCATCTAGTGTAATATTAGATGTTGAATTCAATGTGGAAAACTTGATATTTGAATATTGGAACACATTATATTCTTAATAGTTCTTTTGAAAAATTAATGTATTAAAAAACTTGATATTTCATCATCATCCCAAGGTATGTGTTCAATATTACAAGTAAAGGAGGTTGAATTTATATTCTTAATAGTTCTTTTGAAAAATTGCATTTGCATGTGCAAGAATAAAATGACTACCTATATAAGCATGAAGTTTAGTTGCTTCAAGAAGTTAGGACTTGACTTTTATATGTGTATTGAAGGATGGTACACAAGCTAGTAAAAATATAGTTTCAAGTTAGAACTTGTCAGAATGTAAATTGTTGTGTATATTATCTTCATGTATTTATTATGAATAAAAAGGGTTCAATCCTTAGTGACACCCTGATATTCGAATATTTGGGATGAATAATATACTAATGTGAAATTAAATTGTCACAACATTTCATTTATGCATCGGTTTGTTGTTGTTATGTTCTGGTTTAAGTTAATCGAGATTACACTTAAATGGGGGAGGTTTTTTGGTGATTTATTATCATCAATGTTATTTAAGTGTAATAGGATTAACTTGTTGACAAAAAGTGATCTTGACAAAAAGTGATCTTGGAAACATTCTATTATCCTAATAAATCATCAAAATATTAGACAATAAATCAGCAATATGATCTTATCAAAAGATTTAAATTGATGTCCTAATTACTTCCATTCTTATATACCTCAACTAAATTATAACCCGCGTTAAACGCGGGGAACATAAATTAAATACATAGCATATTAACAAGCTGCGTTGTCTTAGGTGGAATTTTAATAAAAGATGTTAGATTCATTTTTAGAGTTTTTAAACCAAACTTATTAAATAAAAATACTTAATATTTATATTAGAGCAATTTAGTTTTTTAATACATTAATTTTTAATATAAATGATCCATGTGGTCTTTATTTTATCACAACATGATGCGACTCCTTAATTAAAACATGTTGTGTAGTAGTTCTATGAATTGATTTTGTTCGGTGTAAAGATTTATTTTGAAGACAACCGTCAAAGATGAATTATAAATAATTGTTGTAGAGCGGTTAATAGATTTATAAAAGTTTACAATTTCATTAAATGGGGGCAACAGTGGCAGGGGTAGGTTTATTTCAGGTAAAGAGAACGTATACATAGATGTTGTTTTGCCCTCATTCATCATGCAAATAGTATTCAATGTAGAGAATTATTTTTTTATGTGGTGTATAGAAATATACCAATTCCATTCATTGATATATACCATTGTATTTGATTCATGATTACATTTGATAACCCTCACATATTAAGAACATCGATTACACAAGTTTCAAGAATATTGCAAACAGAGGATATAACGTCGATTATACACAGACTCACAAACAAATATAGCTCAACACATTAAAAAAAATTAATATAAATGATATAATTTTGTTTTTGTAACTAAATGAATGAAACTAATATGCTTAAAGTAGTTTGATTAATTTTTTCATGACCTCTCAACATGAATACAATAATACAGGGCTACTTTGAGGAAACACAACACTTTGGTAGCTGCCATGGATGAGGCTATTCGGATTGAGGTGGATCTGGATACACTGGGACGTACTGTGATGAAGAGTATAGAGAAAAGGAAGTCGGAGGGTCAATCTGACCCCTCCAAGAAGAACAAGAGCTTTTCCAGGAATAAAGGAGACAACTCGAACTACTGTGGGAAGTGTCAGTCTTCTCACAAGGGTCCTTGTAGCATCCACACTATCAACTGTCGATGTTGTGGCAAGATGGGCCACAAGATATCTGAGTGTATGAGTACCGAGCCTCTTTGCTATAATTTCAAGCAGATGGGACACATGAGCAAGCAATGCCTTAATCCAAAGGTTACTGCTGGAGGTTCAGAACAGAAGTCGGAAAAAGCCAAAGCTCCAGCATGTGCTTTTCAGATAACATCCGAGGAGGCCATACGTATGTATGAGGTGATTCTTGGAACCTTTTTGGTTAATGATTTGCCTCCTTTGGTTTTATTTGATGCTGGTGCTAGTAGATTGTTTGTATCCCGTAGATTTTATGCTCATTTTGTGATACTGTGTAGTCCTTTAAGTCCTATGTTAGACATTAAGGTAGCAGTAGGGAGTTTTGTTTTGGTGAAGCAAAAATTTGATGGGTGTTCAATCATTATCTCTGGTCACACCTTTCCTCTTACTCTGATTCTAATAATAATCAAATCCTTAGATGTTGTCTTAGGTATGGATTAGTTGTCTGCCAATCGATCTGAGATCCTTTGTTTCGAGAAGTGTGTTCGTATCAAACTCGTTGAGGATGGATTATCATGGCTCCGGGGAAGAAGTCTGGGGTAAGTATACCGATTATTTTGTTATAAAGGTACACAAGTTCCTAGCGAGATGTTATGAGGTCTTATTGGCTCATACGATCGAGAGTCCAAGGAAGACAGTGGATCTTGTCGACGTGGAGGTGGTAAGGGAGTTTAGCAATGGTTTCCCTGATGAGTTGCCTAGTTTACCACCACCACGAGAGGTAAAGTTCTGGATTAATCTTGTTCCTTGTAATATCCTGTTTTAAGCTAATTCATATTCGGGACTGTGACTCGAATATATGTTACCAGGAGACTTTAGACCTTAGGGAATAAAGGTTTAGACTTATTTAGGTGTGGCTAATGTAGCTTAGATGATCGGAGAGTTCGGTTGATGTTTTTGGAGACGAAGGGTATATCGGTAAAGTGGCGGTTCAGGACTTTTATGGAATTAGATTTTTGTTTGGAAAGTTTTAAGGTACAGATAAATTGATAGAAAGGTAGAGATCCTTGAGACCTTTCCGCGGATATAAAGAACGTTGAAAACGGAATTAGAACGAAGAAGTTATGACCGTTTGAAGTTTGGGTGGTTTTGGGCCAAGTTGAGTACACTGGGCGTACTAATGGAATCCTGAGTACGCTGGGCATATGCAATCAGTGCCTAAACCCTATTTTCGTGGTTTGAGCCCTATTTAAGCTCCTGAACTCCCCCAAACCCACTCCATTCTTAGCCTCCACCCCTCCAACACCCCTTTCATGAAACCCTAAACCTTAGATGAGCCTTGTGAGCTAAAAGAAGGTGATTTTAAGTGCTTTGGAGTATGCATGGTGCACCTTGGAGAAGAAGGAACTTCTTGTAGAAGTGTTGGTTGCATTAGAGCTTGTAGATCTGGACTTTGTTCACCTTTATCTATCTTCTAGAGGTATCAAGTTCGAATCTTGATTGTGTATTTGTTAGATCTAGCTAGTTTTGGATGTTATGAGCTTTTGGTCATTTTAATGCAGAAAGTTTAGATCTTGAAAGTTTGTGACCTTGTTATGGATAAAGTTGGAAACTTTATCCATCTAAACATCATTGTGATTCAAATCTAAAGGTTGGAGACTTGGACTTAATGGATTAAGTTGAAAAAGATGCACTTTTAGTCCCATTTGATGCTTAAAGGCTAGATCTTGGTGGTTTGGACCATTCTAATGGATAAAGTTGGAAACTTTATCCATTATGGAGCTTTTAGGATCCATAAAAATGTAATATTGATCCTTCTATACCTTCCATGAGAGTATCATGATGTCTTAATGGATTAATAAGTTAAGGTTTTAGCTTTTGGACCTTTTCTAGACATGGAAAGTCATAAAGGTGGAAACTTTATGACTTAGAATGATGTTGTGGGACTAGATCTGAATGTTGGATGAAAGGACTTAAGAGATTAAGGGGCTGTTTGGCAGGATCTGAATTTTTAAGATCTGAATTTTTAAGAGGTCTGAATTTCTAAGAGGGTCTGAATTTTTAAGATCTGAATTTTTAACATGCTGTTTGGTTGGAACCTCTGAATTGTTGTGCCGAATTATAAAAATGACCATTTTACCCTTCCATCTTATTTTTCGTTGAATTCAATGTTTCTATTTGTAAAATAACCGAACCAAACTCCTTAAATAATTATAAAAAAAATATATAAACACCATACAAAATATTATGCTCTAATAGGAAGAGGTGAAAGTATGATACTATAATAAAGAAATATATAAAAGTACATTGCTATTTCATGTCTTCACCTTTACAAAAACAAGCTTACAATAGGCTATGAAAACAAACTGAAATGTATGTTTACATGGATCACATTAAAAAAAGCCTTTTTATGTAAAATTCCAAAAAGAAGACCAAAATACCCCTTAAAAATTTTCTTGCACAACCTTTAAACCATCAACCAACTCCTTTCTTCCGGCCATCCAAAGTCTCGATGCTTCATGCAATCTAGAATAACCTAGTCCCACTTGATAATAACAAGGAAAAGACCATTATGCCCTTTATTCTTATTTTTGCAGCAGGTCATTCAATATTTTTTTATCTTCAATTCAGAAACATAATACCCATCAAACTGCAACCAAGAGTATGATTACGGAATATACAATCTAAACATTAATACCCATCAAACACAACTTTGTGATTTGATTAAAAAACCATTTTATAAAACATATATTTGACTGTGTATTTCCAATGAGATGCAAATAAAAAACCTCACAAGACTTTCCAATCTGAAATGTATCTTTATATCGATCACAACTTTGTGATTTGATTAAAAAACCTCACAGGACTTTTCACAAATAGTTGGTGTGCTTAAGAGCTTTAATGAGATGCAAATAGAAAGCCATTACTTTTCTTAGGAAATTGACTGTGTATTTCCAAAATTGATTGAATGGAACATTGGATTATATACTCTAGAATAAGAGATGCAAATAAAAACGAGGGGGAATGAAAAATCATACAGAGGCGGCAGAGGAAAGTGTGTCGAGTTTGGTTGCTTATCATAGCCAAGTGAGGAAGATAAAACGAGAGCTGGAGAAATCGAATCATCCGGCAGTAATCAAGCAGTCGAAGATGAGATCGGTGTTGCTAGAATTTTCGAAATCGCAGAAGCATTGTCGCTCGCCTTTGGGGATTTCCGACATGCCACGATCGATGGCAATGGCAGCGCGGGAAGAGGCAGTGGTCAGCTGGTGGCGGAGGGGATATCAGAGGGTTGTCATTATGCAATCGGAGATGCAGTAAGAATGAGGCGTCGACGTTTGTGAAAGAAAGAGAAGAAGGAAAAGATGAAGTATCAGGGCAAAAGAGGAACGCGCGTTCTTTTCTTTAATTCAGACATATCCCCAAATCTGAAAAATTAAGAGGCGACTAACAAATTAAGAGGTATAAGTTAAGAAGCTATCAAACGGTCTAGATCTTAAAAATTAAGAGACTACCTCTTAATTTTCCAATTAAGAGGCAAACAAACAAGGCCTAAGCACTTAATCGAAAAGTGTCATTTGGCCAGGTACGCCGGGCGTACCTTCGAGTACGCTACGCGTACTCGTATGGGGTCCCGATTCTGGTTGGAAAGTACGCCATGCGTACGAGCTGAGTACGTTGGGTGTACTCAGTCTGAAGTTTGATTTGTTGACTTTGACTTCCGTTGACCGTTGACTTTTGACCAAGTTTGACCTTGGGCCAAACTTGAGGGTTTTGGCCTATTAACTAAGATTTTACCTGGTTCTGGTATTGACAGCTCGGAGAGTCGGTAGGACAGCAGCTAAGGATTTCTCACGGGGAGCTTCTGCATTCGAGGTGAGTTTTCCTCACTGTACTAACAGGATCGAAGGCACCAATGTCGTCCCTTGGATTGTTATCCCGGTTATCTTATGATTGAGTATTGTAGTGATCTGTTAGATCGGTATCCTGGTAGATAGGATGTTGCTATGCTTAGGGATCGGTTAGATCTGCATGTTATATGTTCTGGCTATATGTTCTCCAGTAGCTTGTGTTGATGTAGTATGGTTGGGTTGAGACTGTACTGCTTTGTGCTGCCAGTCAACAAACCCGGTAATGTTTATATCGGTACATTATATGTATGCCTATCTGTTATATGTCGACATGGATTGTATGTGTGTGTGGTTGGGTTGAGGCAGGCATGCTTCGTGCTGAAGGCCAACATACCCAGGGCGGCCCAGATAGATTGAAGGCCCAACTGGGTGTACCAGTCAGGCCGAAGGCCCAGAGAACGGTCCAGACAGGTTGAAGGCCCAGCGAGTCGGACCAGACATGTTGAAGGTTCTGAGAGCGACCCAGATAGGCTGAAGGCCCGGTGAGGCGGTCCAGACATATTGAAGGCTCTAAGAGTGGTCTAGATAGGCTGAAGGCCCAGTGAGGCGGTCCAGTCATGCTGAAGACTTTGTATGTATGTTGTTATTTGTATATGTGCTACTGTTTGTGTGTTGGTACTTTGTGTTGGATTAGTGTCTAAGTCCATAACTATAATTGGTATGTACTTGACCCGACTCGGCATGGTCCATTTGGGTTGCATGGCATCGGAACATTTGGATAGACCATTTGTGAGGAGAAGACATTTGTGACATATTAATATATTATAAGTTCTAATATATTAATATGAAATCATGTTATTTAATTAGAATTGATCAAGAATTAATTTGGACTTAATTTAGTGATCAAAAAGAGACTAATTGAATATATGGGGATTGATTGTGTAAATCATTCATTCTTATATATATGGGCTTATGATCCATGATTCCTTATGTTGGGTTTAACCCATGTGGTGATCCATGGATACTCCATGGAGGTTAAAACCCATGGAGCATAAGGAATGGGTAAATTCATGGGTTACATGGTGTAACCCTAATGTGCACACTATATAAGGACCCCTTTAGCTCAAGAAATTGGCACTAGTGATACTTATATGAGGGCTAGCCGATTTGAGCATGAGTGTCTTCTTCTCATGGTTATTCCATGTGTTGGTGATGTTGTGTGAACCATTTGAGGTGTCACACTTGGGGCACTAGGCTCTCAAGCTTCATGGAGTCAAGCTACATCAACAAGGTATGTATTTCTATCTAGTTTATTACCAAAGTATCAATGTTTTGTATGCTAGTTAGGGTAATACCTTGGAATATTCATATTTGCATGTATAATAGAGAAAACATAGATACAAGGTATTTAGGGTTGCATGTACACTTAGGAGTGTTAGAATGCTCATAACCCAACAGTGGTATCAGAGCCTAGGCTTGTTTTCACTTATACTTGATGCAAACTTGGTTTTTCAAAGCTGAAACTGACCAGACCATAAAAATCGATGAGTTTATGCAAAAAAAACTCGACGAGTTCATCATTTTGGGCATGAACTCGACGAGTTCCTCAAGGAACTCGACGAGTTTTGGGTGCTGACAGCTTGTTGTTTGATGTTTTTGGCAGGAATTGGACTAGGAACATTACCCTAAGCTATTTTTCAACTTATAAACCTGTTTTTGATGTGATAATGTTCATGCTAATCCAATTTCAAAGATAATTGTCAATAGATTCATGTTTTGTATTATTTTAGTGATTAGGCTAATTACATGAAAAAGTTTGATTAAATTATCTTGTTCTTATGAGTTGCTTAGATTAATAGGAATGTTATGTGAAATTGTGGTTTTCAATCCAAATTAATCTAAGAGTTTATTCTAAAATGTGTTTTTGTAACTTGTCCTCAAGTTATATGAAAAGTCACATTTAAGATTCATAAAACTCATAAAGTTTTCCATAAGTTATGAATAAGGAAGAGCCACATTCTTTTAATGGTTTAAAGTCTTCCATAACTTGTCCTCAAGTTATGGAACTTGAAGAGTTTTTGAATTAAAACTACTTTAAACACATAAGTTATGGAATTGAAAAGTTTCTTGAATAGTTCAAAACTTGCCCTCAAGTTTTGGAATTTGAAAAGTTTTCTTTCGTGAATACTTTAATTCCAAATTAAGCCCTTAGGATTTTAAAAGTTAAAATTCAACCCTTATACATTATAATATTATAAGTTAATAATATATATATATATATATATATATATATATATATATATGTATGTATCAGAGCAAGTCAGTCTTACCGTTAGTAGTCCTCATTCACGAAGCTGGTCTATAAGGGGGGTATAAGGTTACTGCCTATAAAATGGCAGTTTAATGGGTGTCCACTCTCACCCACCGCTTCCTTGACTGGTGGAGGGTCGTTAGCCGAACGGGTAGGACAAGGACTATAATTCTCCCTTCATTAAAAGTATTAATGATAAATACTAAGTAACTAAACCGTTTATAAATTCTCAATCTTAGTTACTTAGGAAAATGTGAATAAGATGCTAACCCATGAAATTACACTTTGCACTTTGCTTAAGTCGGTTAGTGAAGCGCGTGTGGTTAACCAGCACACTAGCTTGATTTAACAAGGTATGCAAAGGGTTTCTTAAAGTTTATCATAGGCCGGTGGAGCGTGTATGGTTAACCGACACATCGGTTGGGTGATAAACATTTAAGAGTACCAAGTAATTTCCATGGTTACTTCACACCTTGTTTTGTGATCCTCGGCATCCCAGTCACAAAACCTGAAAGGGCACAATCGAAATTGAAACATGCCATTGAAAAGTTCAATGAATCTCAAAAGAATCTAGGAGTTTCAAAACCAATTAAAACCTAATAAATTATTTCGTTTTCATGGTGGAAATTGGTGAATCGTCATTCACCTACCTTCAAATATTTTATAACCTGGATTACGGCATCCCTCTTCCAAGTTATAAAATGTTGTGTTGGGTGCTAGCCTTAATATTTCATATTGGGTGTTATATTAAGGACTTTAAATAAACTATCTTGAATATCTCCCAAAAGATGTCTAGTTCAGACATCTATGATCTTCCCAAATCTCTTGGAACTTCACTTCCTCCACCTCCTCCAATTATTCTCCCTAACCCACAAGTTCAAGGTCACTCACGCCCTATTGGAAAGCAAGGTCTATGTGTGATCGCATCTTGGAGATGAAGTCACATATTGACAAGCCGGGAGAGTTGGGTGTCAAAGTCTTAAGAAAGTTGGATGTTCAATCACTTTCTAAGTCACATAGTGAGTTCCTTTTGGACTACTATGAAACATACTATGACATGACCCTTAATGATCTTGCCTATTTGCTTTGTGCTGCTAAATCAGCTATGATTTGAAGCACTGGTAGAGCAAATTTAATTAGAAGATCAACTCCCCTAACTTCTATGGACTTTGAAAATGGTAACATTGGACATCTAGAAAAACTTCCTCTTCCCAATGGAAAGGGATAAGCCTTAGTCAACTCGGTTATCCAGATGGTAAAGATAAAGGCAAGTCTGTGATAGTCCAGTACACCATTCCCAAAGAGTCCATATGTTTCTCTTGCCAAAGGAAGTGGCATTGGTTGCGAAGCTGCCTTAACTACCTGAAAGATCTGGGAGAAGGTCTAGTCAAGAAGTTTGACTCTACTTCAGGTAAAGTCCACTATCTAACTCTGTTAAGTTTCTATTCTGAGATTCTTGTTACATGATGTGACTGGGTCACATGTTGATGTTTTAAGAATCAAAGAAAAGTGAAGAAACTTAAAGGAAGTGTATGTTGATTCTGATCACGAAGATGGATCTCGATTGCATGGTTCAGTGATCAGAATTTTGAGCTGTTACTTAGGAGTTATGATATATTGCTTAGGAATAGATAACAACAAGTTTTTCATATGCTTTTGCACTGTAAGGATAAGTTTTCCGCAAAGTTTTAAAATTGAAGGATTTTTATTTTATTTATTCTAAGTATCCTTACAATGGCATTTGTGAAAAATTGTTGCTTATATGATTCCATTGATAGCAATATTGGAAAATGGATTTGTTTCTTCCATTTGTGGTAGTGTCTAAATTTACCAAATAAGGAAAGATTCTCATCACCCAAGGTTTCAGTTGGATAGAAACTTGGAAATCATGCAAGTTGTATAGTATGATGAATGAGAATTTTCATCTTTGAAAAATTAAGATTAATTCCTTGTTCACATGTATATGTGAGTCAACTGAAGGACTATGGGATCGAGTACACATTCTGGTGCACTGGTCAAGTCCACCACAAAAGATCGATAAGACTATTCATCATGATTTACTAAAGTTTAGTAAATATGGTTATACTTACAAGTTTAAGTATAATTCTGAAACATTGGAAAAGTTTCGATGTATAGCAGAACGAATGAGAAGAATCAAA